AGATGGCATTTAATTTCGTTGTACAAGGTGCAATGACAATAAAGTAAACTAAACTAAGAGATGAAGGTACAAGCTGCTAAGCGAGACAGTTGTCAAGTGAATTTTGCCCCATTTTAAGACCCTTCTTGCAACAGTTGTTAAGTGAATCTCTGCAGTCGTTAAGTTAGGAACACGGTTTGCTAAGTGAATCTGATTTCCTTGCTAGAAGGTCGCAAAAGGGGATCACGTGACCCCAGGACACTGCAACGTCATAAATATGAGTCAGTTTCCAAGAGCCTGAATTTACTCACATGGTCATGGGGATACTGCAGTGGTTGTAAGTGTGAAAAATGGTCAGTTTTTTCAATGCCATTGTGACTTTGAACAGTCACTAAATGAACTGTTATATTTGGATTACAAGCTCCAGGAGAAGGTTGGGAAAATGGAGCTGCTCCTAGGAATGGCATTCTCGTGGGAGTTACAAATGGAAAGGTACTTTAAAGATCATCTTGCTCAATTCCCTGCTTAGTGCAGGAACCCACTAAGCCAGCTCCAACAGGCCCCTTTAAAAACTCTCATTTATTTATTATTTATTGGATTTTAATCTTGCCTTTACTACTTTATAAGCAGGAGTGGGATTCTACCAGTTCGCACCTGTTCGCTAGAACCGGTTGAATATTCTAAGCAGTTCGGAGAACCGGTTGTTAGAAGAAATTACTGGCCTAATCCTGTAAGGAAGGCAGGAAGGAAACATTCTGGGGTTGCTTACAGAAACTGCCTCTCCGTTAACCCTTATTACATTCTTGGCAGGACTAGACTTCCTGTCTCAGGAACATCTCTGGAGTTTTCTTCCCCTCCTTTGCTGGTACTTTGCTTGTGTGGAGTGACCATTCAAAGTTACAATGGCACTGAAAAAAGTGACTTATGACCATTTTCACACTTATGACTGTTGCAGCATCCCCACAGTCACGAGAGGCCAGGCGAGGAGATGTGTGCCTCGATGTGAGTGATGTTGAGTTGGCCACGCCCAGCCAGTAGCATGACCACCAAGCCACATCCACCCAGTCACATGACCAACAAACCACACCTACCAACTAAGCCACGCCCACATAACCGGTTGTTAAAAAATTTGAATCCCACCCCGTTTATAAGTAAGTCAAGGCGATGAACATATGTAGTATTCCTTCTTCTCCTTTTCCCTCCTGCACAACAACAACCCTGTGAGGTGGGTTAGGCTGAGAGAGAGTGACTGGCCCAAAGTCACCCAGTTGGCTTTCATGCTTAAGGTGGGACTAGAATTCGCCATCCCCATCCATGGTTTCTAGGCCAGCACCTTCCCCCTCTGCACGAAACTGGCACCAAACCAAACTGATCTTCAGACAGATGCATTTTTGTTCACACACCATACTCTATAAGTCATTATTTGGTTAATCCACTTTTAGCTCAGCAGTTGCTGACAATCCAGACCTTGTAAAATGGCAAATGATGGTCTATTGCTGAATCTGTTTTGCAAATCCAACCATTTGTGGCTTATTCAGCTGACTGTGGTTAAGCTATTATGATTGCCTGGTGTGATGTAATGGCTGTTATTATTACCTTTATGATTTTTGTATTTAGCACCCTCCCCTCATAGCATTGGTAGAATGAGAACCAAGAACAAAGGTGTCTTTGCTTAAAGAATGTAGGTAGATAGGTAAGTAGGTGGGTGGGTGGGAGGGAGGGAGGGAGAGAAGGAAGGAAGGAAGGAAGGAAGGAAGGAAGGAAGGAAGGAAGGAAGGAAGGAAGGAAGGAAGGAAGGAAGGAAAGGAAGGAAGGAAGGAAGGAAGGAAGGAAGGAAGGAAGGAAGGAAGGAAGGAAGGAAGGAAAATAATAGCTCTACTGCTTGAATTTGAAGGAAGGAAAGGCATTCTGGACGTGCACCAAAACGTAGCTGCATATTCTGAGATAAGAACAGGTTCTGTACGCAAGACTGCATTTACAGGTAGTCACAATAGAGCCCAAAATTTCTGCAGCTAAGCGAGACATTTGTTAAATGAGTCTTGCCCCATTTTACGACCTTTCTTGTCTCTATTGTTAAGTGAATTGCTGCAGTTGGTAAGTTGTTAAGTGAATCTGCCTTCCCCATTGACACTGCTTCTCAGAAGGTCGCAAAAGGAGATCACATGATCCCAGGACAGTGCAACCGTCATAAACGTGAGTCAGTTGCCGAGTGTCTGAATTTTGATCAGGTGCCCAGGGGGATGCTGCAACGGTCATAAGTGTGAAAAACCGTCCCTTTTTCCCAGTGCCGTTGTAACTGTGAACTGCCACTAAACAAACTGTTGTAAGTCGAGGAATACCTGCCCTTAGATTCACTTAACAACCGCAGCAAGAAAGGTCATAAAATGGAGCAAAATTCACTTAACAATAGTCTCACTTGGCAACAAAAATTTTGAACTCAACAGCAGTCCTAAGTCGATCACCTTGTCTTGGTAAGAAAGGATTCATGTCCTCCTTCCCCCCCATCTGCTCCTCCCATCCCACCCACCCCCAAAATGCCAGCAAAAACAGAGGATGGCCAAGACAGAAGCCAAGGACATCACGGGACAACCTTGAGACGGATTTCCAAGAATGTTTATTGTTCGCAAGCAAACAGGGCCTTGAGCAATCTCGCGTTCTCCGAGCCGAAGGAAGCCCAGAGCGAGCAAATGGTTCCCCTATATTGCATCTCTGTTGCCTCTCCTGTAAATGCGCAGAGGGCATGGCAAGGGAAGATTGCGAGAACAGTCTGGGGAAGGGCAGTAAACAGCCACTTAATGACAGCTTAGGATGATAGCCAGCAGGGTGGGGTGTGTGGGCAGGCAGGAAATACTGGAAGCAGGTGTAGAAGGGGGAACCTGGCCGTTTGCATCTCTGCCTTGTGTGGGGAGACGAATCATCCTTGGAAGGACAAAATGCGACGTTTCTTGTACAGGGATATCCCCGACTTACGGCCACAGTTGAGCCCAGGATGTACATTGCTCAGCCAGACATTTCTCAAGTGGGTTTTTTGCCCCCTTTTTATGACCTTCCTTGCTGCTGTTGTGAAGCGAATCACTGCAGTTTGATAAGTTGGGAACAATTCATTCAACAGCCACCTTGCTTAGCAGTGGAAATTCTAGCCCCGATAGTGGTTGTAAGTCAACAACTTACCTGTATGCTGAAGGTGGGAAAACTCAGCTGCGGAACTAATCCTAGTGAGCAGTCCATGGCGGGGTATCTCCCAGATCATCAGGACACAACAGAGTAACAGTTGGAAGGGACCTTGGAGGTCTTCTAACGATCCAACCCCCTGCTTGAGCAAGGGATCCTATACCATTCCAGACAAACGGCTGTCCAATCTTTTCGTAAAAACCTGCAGGGATAGGCAGGTTTTCAAGAGGGAAGCCCTTCCACGGATTAATTGTCCCCACTGCTTCTGTCCTTGATTAGTTTCCATACGTTGCTTCTTGTTCTGTCTTCTGGTGCTTTGAAGCCGGCTTAGACGCCTCCAGTGATGGAGCACCCACAATTTCTGGAGGCATTTTGTTCCACTGATTAATTGTTCTCACTGTCAAGACATTCCTCCTTAGTTCCAGGTTGCTTCCCTTCTTGGTTAGTTTCTATCCATTGCTTCTTGTCCTGCCTTTTGGTGCTTTGGAGAATAGTTGACCCCCACCCACCCCCTTCTTGGCTTGGCAGCCCCCTAGATATCGGAGCACACATTGGAACAAATCACCTCTTACCTCTTGCTCGCTAAACTCCTGGCCTTAAGGTGACTTCTGTGCGATTTAAAAACTTACGTAGGAAAACTACAGATGGGATTTTTCGGCTCCCCTTGGTTATTGGGAGAAACAGCTCCTTTCTCTGCCCCAGTCCTGGATGATGCCGGGTTGATTTATCTTCAGAAATCAATGTGGAGAAACACTCTCCAGGGGCGGTCATTTTGTCTCTAAAGCCACGGCAAGCTGGAGCTTCATGGTCAGACAAAGGGATGTAAATCTTTCATTGTTTGGGCCCTGCTACTGGCTGAGCTCATCGGTTCATATCTTTTCTTTTCTTTGGGTGATGCCTACAGGGTTAATCCAAAGCCAGGTTTTCTTAAAACAGAAGAGCCATTACGTTCGTCTACTTCTGAAACTCTCTGTACATATTTTTTTAAAAATAAGTATTTATCAATTGTTCTTAATATTCTAGGACGTAGGGCTTGCTTGCCTACAAAATAGTGTTATTTCACTATTGCACAGTAACGGCACTAAGCTCTGGACAGTTGTTTGTGCCCACTTTACAGACAGGGAAAAGAATCAGCTTTATTCTGATAAAATGCTTTCATGTGTCAGAAACTTACGGATGGATTTACACATCATTTAAAGCTAGAATTAGCTTTTAAGTTTAGTGGGTTTTTTTTTAATGGATCGCCTTGTGCAAATCCAAACTATTTCTTTCATTTAGAGTTCGGTGTATGATGCAAATTCAGAAAACGGATGTTTCAGGAAGCAGGTGTAACGGCAAAGTAAAGAGGAAGATTGCTTAAGAATCAAATCTTTTTAAATGTGATGTATTAAGAAAAGAAAAAAGGACTCCATATCCCATCTCAAATCAGGAGTGGAGAAAGGGAGAGGTTTCAGAAAGATCTATCTGGAAACTAACCCAGAGCTGGGGAAGAAAAGCTTGCTGGTCATTCTTGGTGTCACCCAACGCTAGTCCTCGAACCCTGGCTTGCAGCTGACGACAAAACCTAAGGCTATTCAAAAAGAGCCTTGGCTAAGCCCCAGTGCTAAAATTTGCAAGTTTCAGACTGCTTAACTGTGCCCGTGTTTCTGTGTGTGCTCGCCAGCCGAGTTTCCCTCTTTCATGTCTGCCCAAGCTCAACACACACACACACACACACACACACAAACCACACCCCTCTGCCATTCAGAGCAGCCCAACCTGTTTTTATGTAAATTTCCCCAAGCCTCCCCTTTCCCCTCCCTCCCTGGGAGGGGGTAAGCAAACTCCCTTTGAAGTGTTCCAGTTGTACCAAGGTGCCTCCGAAAGAGCTTTCCTTTGCTTGCTTCCTTCTACCTGGGCCCAGCTGTGGTTGGCTTGGCAGTTGGTTGGGCAGCCCTCCGCCACCCCTGGGAAGTGGGAAGAGGCTGGCAGGCATTCGGGGCTCCCAACCGGGGAGGAGGAGTCCCTTAGCTGGGCACGATGTACCAGACCGAAACAGATTTGATGGAGGTGATCCAGGGTCCTTCCCCAACCCCCGAGCTGTCCCCTGCAGCTTTTATCAACGCGGTGCAGTACGCTAACGTCCTGGAGGGCAGGTTCAAGCAACTTCAAGGTAGGGAAGAGGAGAATTGTGGGGAGTGGAGGGGGTGGGTGAAATGGGCGCATCACGAAGGGGTCATGGCTTCCCCTCCAGGATCCTTAAATCCTTAAATCTCCCTTCCCTCTGCCTAAGGGGCAGGTTTAGGAAAACCTTAATCTGTAAGGTGCTGCCAGGAATTATTTCAGTACACAGGCTGGATTTGCAAGGGGCAAAGCCAAACTCCTCTGGAGCTTGGATTTTTGGAGGGCTGGGGTGGGTGGGTGGTCCTGTGCCCCACTTCTGAAGGACAGGAAAGCAAAGAGGACACCGATTGTTGCAAGAGAGAGGGACAAGCACCTAGATAGGTGGGAGGGTGACTCACAGCTACTATCTCTGTTTCCAGGTTGGCTGCGCCTTACAAGTTAACCCTGATTTGGTGGCAGTCAGTGTGGTGATGAACAGTCATTGTAAACCCTCACCTTCGTTTCCTCTTCCCCTGCCTTCATTCACACAACCAGCCTTCTCCCCCTCCCCTTCCCTCCATCTAAGCATCTTTTAGAATTGTCCCGCTGGGGCAGCTGATGGGCTACGTGGTCCCAGCGTGTCCATTTGGGAAAAACCGACCAGTTTAAAATTGAGCCTCATGCTTGCCCTGCGCCAGCTGATCATTCAATGTTTGCAGAGATAACACTTGAACTGACCTTGAATGTAAATAGGAAAAAAAAAATGCTTTTAAGGCTCTTAAGAACCGGAAAAGCAGCACTCAGAGCAACCCCAGGAGAAAATACGCTTTAAAAACTCACCTTTCCTTTCGTGCAGGAAAACTGGCACCCGCCTAGTTTTTCGGAGGAATATAGTCTAAAACAAGGGTCTCCAAACTTGGCAAATTTAAGACTTGTGGACTTCAGCTCCCAGAGTTCCCCAGCCAGGAATTCTGGGAGTTGAAGTCCACAGGTCTTGAAATTGCCAAGTTTGGTGATCTCTGCTTTAAAATCTGGGTGCCATTGTGAAGAACTTCATCTTATTTTAGTGCTTTCTTGCCTTCTCCAAAAAAGGGGACTGGGGTTCCTGCCCTGGATTGGATTCAGTTTTTGTCCAAGTCAGCAGCATCTTTTCCCTAGTTAATTAAGAGGCAGCATAAAGATCGGGCTTTTGGCAGCCTGCAACCCATTTCAGGAAAGGAGACTGGGCAGTATTTTATTGGTTAGAGATAAAAGCCAGCCCTCTTTTAAAAAATCCCCTTTTCCCCACACCCCCAGCCCCAATCCTAAGCTCTGAACTTTCCTCCCACCAAGATGCTTTTTTATGATAGGGAGAGGTGAGGTTTATGGCAAGCGAAAAGGCGTTTTATGCCTTTGCAATTATCGTCTGTTGTATCACAGAGGTTGGGGATTAAGTGCCAGGTGATTCCACAGCGGGGTGGTAGGGATGAAGGTGTCTCCAGGTGGGCGGGAAGGGGGGGGTGGAAAGTTGCTTTGCTTTGGAGTTTGGCCTGGGTGTCTTAAGAAGGGTGGGTGGGTGCTGGAATGGGGAGCCGAGTTAAATTTTAGTGTCTGTCTGCGAGTGCCAAGACCTTACCCTGGAACGGAGCGACAACGAACCCCACAGGTGCTAACAACAAAGAAAGTCCAGTTGCCTTTTGAAAAAAGCACCTCTGGGACAACCATGACCCGGAGAATCTCCATAGACAATTCTAACAAATGGACTGCTTTTCCGTATGTACAAATAGGGTTTGGTTGGGAGCGTGTGCGCCGGAGAGAGTTTTTACAAGTTTTGCAAGTAGAGGCTGGTGTTTTAGCACGGGCTTCTCCCTGGGTAGAGAGGGGCAGGCACATTTATCCATGCGCCGAGACCGGAAGGTTATTGAACTGCAAAAAAAAAAAAAAAAAAAGGGCAGTCGCCCTCTGGCAGATAGGAATCCTGCACAAAATCCTGCACAAAATGAGAACCAGCGCTTGCTCCCATTCACAGCCTAATCCCCAACTTCCCCCCACACGGCTGTCTGTTGGGAAAGGACCTCAGAGTTCTGGTTAAGCTCCAAATGAATAGAATACAATTTGCTGATCTATTCTAGTTCAGCATTTTCCTGTTATGTTCGGAGCCCGGCTCCCAATGGGGAGGAACATAAGGGGAAGGTGTTTGGGGCTCTTTGCGTTCCGAGCATTGCTACATCTTCCGTCGGGTTTAGTGTCCTTTGTGCCAAAGGGGTAAACACGGGATGTAGCCAAGGTTAAAAAGGTAGAGAGAGGCTGGGAGGAGGTGCAGCCAGGTGACCAGCTTCTGTAATAATTTCCCTTAGAGATCTCATTGTATACAGGTAGTCCCCGGCTTACAATAGTTCGTTTAGTGACTGTTCGAAGGGACAGCGGCACTGAAAAAAGCAGCTTACAACTGTTTTTCACACTTATGACTTTTGCAGCATCCCTGGGGTCATGGAATCAAAATTCAGACCCTTGGCTCATATTTATGACTGTTGCCGTCTCCTGGGGTCACGTGATCCCTTTTCTGTGACTTTCTGACCAGCCAAGTCAATAGAGGAGCCAGATTCACATAACAAGCGTGTGACTAGCTTAACCACTGCAATGCTTCGCTTAACAACTGGAGCAAGAAAGGTTGTAAAATGGGGTAAAACTCATTTAAACAATTGTTTCACTTAGCAACAAAGTTATGAGCTCAGGTGCAGTTGGAAGTTGAGGGCTGCCTGCAATTTGTTTCGGCATGCAACCAAATTTCTAATTAAAAAAAAAAAATTAGGCTAGAACAAGTACATGATATCCTGATCCATAATGGGATTCCTCTTAATTGGACAAAACATTAAATTAAAAGGGGCTTGGGTGTGACGTTTAGGGGTTGATAGCAACTCGTGTGTGGTCTAGCACGTTGTGTAATTCAGGATATGCTGCTCGTTTGTGATATTATTTATTTGATGGGGCGTACCATGCTACGTAAGCACAATGACTGTTTTATTAACCTGGCTTTAGAACCGAGTGTATTGCATGAGCCGCGTTCATGTTAGTTTAGAGACAATCAACCCTTTCTCATTTCCTTTGCTAGTTGCCTTACGAGGAATTAGAAAAGCAAGTCTTAATTCCTGTGAAGGATGTTTTATTCATTTTATTACTTACTTGTGCATGTTTGTGTCTGTGCATGCCATCCAGAGCCAAAGGATCCAGGTGTGAGTGAATACGGAGTAAAATTTAAGCCTTTTCATCCCACATCGGCTGATCCCAATCGTGATCCAGCCACTTCTTTTTATGTTGGAAAAAAAAAATATTTTGCCACCTTTCCAAACAAGTTTTTCCAGTATAAAAAAAGGCAGCCGGCTACATAATTGATGTAATGGCTGGGTTCACACAACATGTGAACATTAAACCTGAGCTAGCAAAACCCAGTAACTATCTTCAACCAGAGTCACTGTTTCTAAAACAAAACAAAAAAACACTGGAGATTTTCAAGAAGAGATTGAACAGCCATATGTCTGGAATCTCCTGCTTGAACATGGGGTTGGACTAGAAGACCTCTGAGGTCCCTTCCAACTCTGTTAAGTCTGTATACTAACCTATCGTCTGATTGAAAAGGATGACCTGGCAATAGAATCAAACCCGGCCTGATTTTTTCACTTTCTGAAGCATCCAAACTGTGTTCTGACCTAACTTGGTGCTCGCTACGCATGAATCCTGGGGGACAAAATTTGCAAGGCGGGGTGCTCCATCGAATGGTCGATGCAAAGGATTTTTGAAGAATGGGGAGTGTTCTGGAAGAGAGGAGGGGGTACCTTGCTCACCTCCTTTTCATTCAAGAATGAAAAATCACCCTCCGATGTGGGTCATCGTAGATCACCAAAGTTATTGAACCTCTTTTTTTTTTTTTGTTGTTGTTGTTGTTAATGGATTTGGCAACAGGCCTCCCTCACTTCCAGACAGCTGGCTAATCTGCGAGATGCTGAGCAGATGGGCTATTTGGCTTCTCGGGCCAGTGGGGCCCAGGGTCATGGCGCGCCGTTGACCTTTCTTTTCCCTTCTCTGCAAAGCACATGGAGACGGAGCTTTTCGCCCAGCCCAGCCCTGTCCTGACATGTTCCTGGTGACTCAACCTCAGAGCTGAACCCTCGGCCCCACCACCACCATGGTTGATTTCTTCCTGCACATTGGGCGCACACGATAGGTTTTGGGCAGAGGCGCAGCAGTCGGTCTGCTGGAGCTGCAGCGGAGCTTTTTATCATTTTGCAAGGATGGAGGGATTCTCAACTTACAAGTTGGTAGGAGAGCAGGATGGTTTAGAGCAGGGGCGTCCATCCTTGGCAAACTTTTAAGACCCGTGGACCTCAAATTCCCCGAATTCTCCATCCAGCCCTAATTGATGTCATAAAAAGGGAGTGATGGTGGTGCCAGGTTTATATCAGGCTTTCTGAACCTTGGTAACTTTAAGACACATGGATTTCAACTCCCAGAATTCCCATGCCACTTAAATGTAAAATACACTTAAATGTCTTCCCTCTGTTTCTGGTGCTCAGTGAGGAGGGCCATTGCTTTAGGTAGCTAAAAACCTCCTGTCTCTGCATAGAAGTTCCAAGAAACTCCCTGGCTGCAGAACTACATGGTTCCCCAATTTCCAGATGTAGATAAACAATGCCCAGCAGCCCTAGACCAATAGTGAGGGGTGCTGGGAGTTGTAGTTCAATAGTATTGAAAGGACCTCTCACCATATAGCTGCTTGGTGATCCTCTTGTCTGAGATGGTATAGATTCCCCTGGTTGAGCAGTGGGCTGGACTAGAAGACCTCCAAGGTCCCTTCCAGATTCTATTCCTATTCCTATTCCTATTCCTATTCCTATTCCTATTCTATTCTATTCTATTCTATTCTATTCTATTCTATTCTATTCTATTCTATTCTCCAAAAGCACTCATTGTGGGCTGTGGGGGAAAGAAGGCAAATATAGTTAGTCCTCAACTCAGGACCACAGTTGTGACCAGAAAATTGCATTAAGTGGGCATTAAGTGAGACATCACATGGCTGCAACCAATTTTGCAACT